GCACTGAACTGAGCTCCCTGATGCACCTATCACACTTCTGAGTATTCACTGAAAGAGCAGACGCTCCACTAATCCACAGAGGCATAGTCCAAAGAGAAAAGCCACCACAGGGGAAAAAAAACCAACAAATATCTCCACAAATGCCTAAAAATAAACACAGCAATTCAAGAAACAAGAATAAGCAGGCAACATGACACTACCAAAACAACATTTCAATACTAGAATGTGAAGATGAAGAGATTGAAGAAATGCCAGAAACAGAATTCAAGAAATTGATCATAGGATGACTTAGGAGTAATCAGAAGCAAATCCACAAATTAAAGAAATGCATACATGACACGAATGAAAATGTTTCCCAGGAAATTGAGATCTTAAAGAAAAATCAAAATGAAATATTGGAGGGCCGGCGCCGCGGCTCACTAGGCTAATCCTCCGCCTAGCGGCGCCGGCACACCGGGTTCTACTCCCGGTTGGGGCACCGGATTCTGTCCCGGTTGCCCCTCTTCCAGGCCAGCTCTCTGCTGTGGCCAGGGAGTGCAGTGGAGGATGGCCCAGGTGCTTGGGCCCTGCACCCCATGGGAGACCAGGAGAAGCACCTGGCTCCTGGCTCCTGGCTCCTGGCTCCTGCCATTGGATCAGCGCAGTGCGCCGGCCGCAGCACGCCGGCCGCGGCGGCCATTGGAGGGTGAACCAACGGCAAAGAAAGACCTTTCTCTCTGTCTCTCTCTCTCACTGTCCACTCTGCCTGTCAAAAAAAAAATGAAATATTGGAAATGAATAATTCAATAAATCAAACAAAAACTCCAGTGGAAAGCCTTAACAACAGACTTGGTGAGGCAGAGAAAGAATATCCGAGTTAGAAGACTTATTTCTGGAAAGTTTACAGTCAAACCAAAAAGAGAAGAAATTAGAAAACTAAAAAACAGTGTTGGAGATTTATGGGATATGATCAAACAATTGAACATATGGATCTTGGGAGTTCCTAAAGATGTAGAAAGAGGTAATGGATTTGAAGGCCTTTTTAATGAAATAACTACAGAAAACTTTCCTAATTTGGAGAAAGGGATGTGGAAGTAAAGGAAGCACATAAAAGAATAAACACAACCAGAAAATATCCTCACCATGACAAATTATAGTCAAACTCTCCACAGTAAAAGGAGATTTAGATTTAGATTTAGAAAGGAGATTCTAAAATGTGCACAAGAGAAAAGCCAGATGACTTTCGGAGGATCTCCAATTAGACTCACAGCTGACTTCTCATCAGAAACCCTACAGGCTAGGAGAGAATGGTGAGATATATTCCAAGTCTTAAGAGAGAAAAACTATCAACCCAGAATACTGTACCCTGCAAGGCTCTCATTTATGAATGAAGGTGAAATAAAGACCTTCCATGACAGAAATTGAAAGAATTTGTCACCACCTGTCCAGCCTTACAAAGATGCTTAAGGATGTGCTATGAAGAGAAACACAGTCATCACTATGAAAGAAGGTGAAGGCAGAAAATCTTCCAGTAAAAGTACAAAGGAAATCCAAAGTAAATAATAGGAATATTTATGGAAAAATGGCAGGGCCAAGTCGTTACTTATCAATAGTCACCTTGAGGGGCCAGCGCTGTGGCTCACTTGGTTAATCCTCCGCCTGCGGTGCCAGCATCCCATATGGGCACCGGGTTCTAATTCTGGTTGCTCCTCTTCCAGTCCAGCTCTCTGCTGTGTTCTGGGAGGGCAGCGAAGGATGGCCCAAGTGCTTGGGCCCTGCACCCGTATGGCAGACCAAGAGGAAGCACCTGGCTCCTGGCTTCAGATTGGCACAGTGCACCAGCCATAGCGGCCATTTGGGGGGTGAACCAACGGAAGGAAGACCTTTCTCTCTGTCTCTCTCTCTCTCACTATCTAACTCTGCCTGTCAAATTAAAAAAAAAAATAATAATAATCACCTTGAACGTAAATGGCCTCAACTCTCCAGTTAAAAGCTAAAGATCGGCTGAATGAAAAAACAAAACCCATCTATTTGCTGCCTATAAGAGACACATTTCACCAACAAAGATACACACAGACTGAAAGTGAAAGGATGGAAAAGGATATTCCATGCTAACAGAAACCAAAAGAGAGCTGGTGTAGCCATCCTAATATCAGACAAAGTAGACTTTAACACAAAAACTGTTAAAAGAGACAAAGAAGGGCACTATGTAATGATTAAGGGATCAATTCAACAGGAAGATGTGACTATTATAAATGTATATGCACCTAATTACAGGGCACCTGGCTTTTTTTTTTTTTAATTTTTTGACAGGCAGAGTGGACAGTGAGAGACAGAGAGAAAGGTCTTCCTTTGCCGTTGGTTCACCCTCCAATGGCCGCCAAGGCTGGCGCACTGCGGCCGGCGCACCGCACTGACCCGATGGCAGGAGCCAGATACTTATCCTGGTCTCCCATGGGGTGCAGGGCCCAAGGACTTGGGCCATCCTCCACTGCACTCCCGGGCCACAGCAGAGAGCTGGCCTGGAAGAGGGGCAACCGGGACAGAATCCGGGGCCCGTTCGGGACTAGAACCCGGTATGCCGGCGCCGCAAGGCAGAGGATTAGCCTAGTGAGCCGCAGCGCCAGCTGCACCTGGCTTTTTAAAAGCAATATTAATGGATCAAAGGGAGACATAGACTCCAATACAACAGTAATGGGAAACTTCAATACATTACTTCAGTATATTACATTACTTTCAGCAATGGACAGATCAACCAGACAGAAAAACAGCATGTAAGCCAGAGTTAATCGACACTATAGACCAAATGAACCTAACAAATATCTACAGAACTTTTCATCCTGCAGTTGTAGAATACACATTATTCTTAGTGCATGGAACTTTCTCTAGGATTGACCACATGGTAGGCTATAAAGCAAGTCTCAGCAAATTCAAGAAAATTGCAATCATACCATACAGCTTCTCTGACCACAATGAAATGAAGCTGGAAATCAACAACTCAAGACTCTCAGGACATATGTAAGTACATGGAGACTGAACATCAAGCTCCTGAATGAACAGTGGGTCATTGAAGAAATAAAAAGAAAAAGAAAAATATTTCTGGAAATGAATGAAGATGATCGATGCCCCCACGTTTACTGCAGCTCAATTCACCATAGCTAAGATACAGAATTGACTCATATGTCCATCTACCAGACTGGATGCAGAAATTACGGGATATGTATACCACAGAATACTCACACTAGTAAAAAAAATGAAATCCTGTCATTCGCAACAAAATGGATGAAACTGGAAAACATCATACTTAGTGAAATAAGCCAGTCCCAACATGACAAACACTAATGTTCTTCTTGATCTGTGATAACTAATAGAGCACCTAAAAGGTAATCTATAGAAGTGAAATTGACAGTGAGAGATGCAATGATTCTGAACAACCCTTGTCTTGACAGCTGAGGAACAGTACTTTTGTTTTTCAAATTTTGTTGAACTCTTTACTTAATACAGAGTTAATAATATGCATATAAAGTTAATTGAAAATAGATTTTAGTAAGAAGTAAGAATGGGAATAGGAGAGGGAGGAGGAAGAAGGGTGGGAGTGTGGGTGGGAGGGCAGGTATGGTGGGAAGAATCACCATATTCCCAAAGCTGTATTTATGAAATGCATGAAGTTTGTATTCCTTAAATAAAAGCTTTCTGGGAAAAAAATAACAAAGCAGTAAAAATAAGTTCAGAAAAAGATACTGAAGACAGTGTTACTTAGGATTACAAAATTATCTGTCTAGGTAAGTAAGTCACATACAGAAACACATGGCACTACACAACCATTAAAAACATTGATACGAGTGTTTATTTATAGTCCTATGATATGATCTTGCCCAAGAAATCTCTTTTCATATGTGCCTTTTTAGGCACTAGGTAGCTTTTTCTTTTTCCTAAATTCAACTGTCTTCTTCAGAATATGAACTAAAGTAAAGACCAGAAAATGATTCTGTGTATAGATTCTAAACCAAGCACACCCCCTAATAACTGTCTGCTTATATAAAGATGGGGCAATTTTTTGGCTCTCATTCACTGCTAAAAATAAGGTGTGCACTACAGCATCTCAGTGCGAAGCTTGTAGGCCTGACCTGCCTCTATAGCTTACCCCAGGTGACACGATGGAAAAATTGAACACTGATTCTTAACAGTGGCTTAGTTATTAAAATCAAGAATGCTTAGTCAGCTATTAGAGGAGTAATAAAATCACCAAATGTGCTAGCTAATAAGTCTAGTGCCACATGCATATATTAACAAAATTTCAAAGGACTCAAAAACTCTATATGAAAGTTAAAATCATACTGAAAATTATTTACCTCTATTGCATTAAGCATAAAGAAGAATTTGGGATCCTAGATAACAAGTAGCAAATACAGTTACAAATAATCAGTCTTCAAGTTCCTTGTTTTGCAAGCTTTATTCACATCAGATCTGTTTTTTTTTTTTTTTTTTTGACAGGCAGAGTGGACAGTGAGAGAGACAGAGAGAAAGGTCTTCCTTTTAGCCGTTGGTTCACCCTCCAATGGCCGCTGCAGCCGGTGTGCTGCGGCCGGCGCACCGCACTGATCCAATGGCAGGAGCCAGGTACTTATCCTGGTCTCCTATGGAGTGCAGGGCCCAAGTACTTGGGCCATCCTCCACTGCACTCCCTGGCCACAGCAGAGAGCTGGCCTGGAAGAGGGGCAACCGGGACAGAATCCGGCGCCCCGACCGGGACTAGAACCCGGTGTGCCGGCGCCGCAAGGCAGAGGATTAGCCTAGTGAGCCGCAGTGCCGGCCAAATCTGCTTCTCTTGATTCCAGCCATCCCACCACTGCCCATAGCACATTCTGCATTCCCAGGCTTCATTTATTTCCCAAATGCTATGTGGACTTAAGATAAACCATCCCTACTGGTATAAACCAGAGTCTCATTAACTGACAGTTACTTTCTCCAGAGTTTGAAAAAACATTATTAAATAAGTAACTTTTGTATGAAATATTCACCTTCATCTTTTAACTGGTCAGCTTTTCCCACATCTTCAGGCGCTGAGTTTGAGAGGGGCAGAATGTCATTCTGAAATTAAGTAAAAATCAAGGTACTTTCAATTAGCTACATAAAGAATCATTTCAGAGTATTATAAATATAGAAATATTAAATTACATTTACATCTTGGTAAATCATCAGTACTTCCATTTCATGAAATTTAACACATAAAAGACAGTGTTAAGAAGAAAATGGGGTGAAAGCCCCCCTGAAATACTTTTATTAGAAATATGAATAAGTGGATTTTTTTCTAAAGAACGGTAAACAAATGTGAGTCCATTCTTCAAAATTTGCTTTCTGCATGTCCAGAAATCCCACTTCACGTATCAAAAAATCAAATAAGAAGATAAATAGGCCAGTGTTGTGGCTCAGTAGGCTGATCCTCTGCCTGTGGCGCCAGCACCCCAAGTTCTAGTCCCAGTTGGGGCACCGGATTCTGTCCTGGTTGCTCCTCTTCCAGCCCAGCTCTCTGCTGTGGCCCGGGAGTGCAGTAGAGGATGGCCCAAGTGCTTGGGCCCTGCACCCGCATGGGAGACCGGGAAAAGCACCTGGCTCCTGGCTTCGGATCAGTGCAATGCGCCAGCCACAGCGGCCACTGGGGGGTGAACTAACGGAAAAAGAAGAAAAAGGAAGACCTTTCTCTCTGTCTCTCTCTCTCACTGTCCACTCTGCCTGTCAAAAAAAAAAAAAAAAAAGAAGAAGAAGAAGAGAAATAATTACGGGATTGACCACATTAGTGAAACTTTTGAAACAAAATTTTTAATATCCTATATAAGAGATAACCAACTAATTAAAAATCACAATTGGGGGCCAGCTCAAGTCTTGGTTGCCCACTTCTTTTTGTTTATTATAAAGATTTATTTTATTTATTTGAAAGTCAGAGTTGCACAAAGAGAGAAGGAGAGGAGAGATAAAGAGGTCTTCCATCCACTGGATTACTCCCCAATTGGACACAACGGCCAGGGCTGTACTGATCTGAAGCCAGGAGCCAGAAGCTTCCTCCAGGTCTTCCCATGCGGGTGCAAGAGCCCAAGGACTCGCGCCATCTTCCACTGCTTTCCCAGGCCATAGCAGAGAGCTGGATTGGAAGTGGAGCAGCTGGGTCTCAAACCAGCGCCCACATGGGATGGAGCACTGCAGGCGGCGGCTTTACCTGCTATGGCACAGCACTGGCCCCAGCTATTCCACTTCTGATCCAGCTCCCTGGTAATGCACCTGGGGCAGCAGTGGAAGATGGCCCAAATGCTTGGGCTCCTGCACCCCTGTGGGAGATCCAGATGAAGCTCCCAGCTCCTGGCTTCAGCCTGGCCCCAACCATTACGGCTATTTTGGGTAGTGAGTCAGTGGATGACAGATCTGTCTCTATCTCTGCTTCCCTCTTTATGTAACTCGTCCTTTCAAACAAATAACATAAATCTTAAAAAAAAAATCACAGTTAACCAAAAAAAAAGAATTTACTATATGATACTATTTAAATACATATATACAGAGAGAGATTAAAAAACAAAGACTGAAAGTTGTATACCAAAAGATTAATAGTAGTAATATTTGGAAGTAAAATATTTACTCTCTTCTTCCCATTTTTCCATATTGTCTATATTTTACCTTTTTTAAGATTTATTTTATTTATTTGAAAGAGTTACAGAGAGAGGTAGAGATAGAGAGATAGAGGTCTTCCATCTGCTGGTTCACTCCCCAGATGGCCGCAACAGCCAGAGCTGCGCCAATCTGAAGCCAGGAGCCTCTTCCAGGTCTCCCTTGCGAGTGCAGGGGCCCAAGGAATTGGGCCATCCTCCACTGCCCTCCCAGGCCATAGCAAAGAGCTGGATCAGAAGAAGAGCAGCCAGGACTAGAACCAGCGCCCATATGGGATGTCAGTGCTTCAGCCCAGGGCGTTAACCTGCTGCACCACAGCGCCAGCCTCTGTCCATATCTTAAAAACAGTGAGCCACAGCTGATCTTAACCAAAGGAAGAAAAAGAGAATATCCTTAATGGGCAACACAGAAACCTGTCTCTGTCTCCTTACATCTTGACATGAGAGTTCATCTGTTTGATGAGCTAATGTGTAACTGCATTACTTTCTCCAAATATAAAAAGAAGGAGTTTACTGTCAAATTATCATCTTCATTGTAACTCCGTGAACCTCTTCCAAACAAGTTCTAAAAACAGAGCTGAGAAAATCCAGCCAAATGGGGCAGCCATGTCCAGCCCAGGCTGAAGGATATGCTGTATGTTTCAGCTTCACTTCTCAATTCTTCTTTACTGAGTATACGATAGCTCAGACAAGCACTGGAAAAGGAATTCACAAGGCACTAAAATGTAATGAAAAGCGTGTGTGTGTGTGTGTGTGTGTGGTCACCCTGGGACCTTACACTCCTTAACCTTAAAGTTTTTCAAGCAACCATATGGTCCATGTTTCCTGAAAAGGCCAGAAACCAGGGACCATGGAAACAGGTGTTTGGAACAGGGGCAAAACACTCAGGTTTCAGTCTTTGTTTTGCATACTGTCTCTGAACACTTCTCTGTTTTCAAGCGCCCCATCAGCGGCCAAATTGAATGAAATCTAAATCAGAAATGATGACTCATTCCAGAGGGATCTACGTTTGCATGATTGGTTCCTACACACTGAAACTTCTGCTTTAAACTTGCATTCCATGCTTTAGGGGAATGTCAATGCAGATATCAGAAATCTAAAAATACTAAGACACTGCAAAGCACCTAAAAGTGAACTAAAGCATTTCATCAACTATAAAAGGCAAGAGGATGAGAATAGCAACCAACTTGAAAACCTAAAGCACATTAAATGAGTTATATTTTAGATCCCAAATTATATCCAGATAGACCATCTACCTTATATCCAGAAAGAAGTCAGCTACTTACAGGCTTGGTCTCTCAACTATTAACAATCCAACATAAAACTCCAGTCACTCTTACATCAGATACTGATGAGAAAACAATGGCAACTTACCTTACAGAAGGAATTTGTGAACATTTCTGTCAAAGGTTGTGGAACTGCTAGATGTGTATCTTCTGAGCTGATCTTAAAAACTGTCTCCAAGCACTGAATTGCAACTTGAAATGAAATTTCATAGTGGAGAAAGATTAGCAACTTAAAAAAAGAAATAATCTTTTTTTTTTCTCAGAGGACTGCAATCTTTGGTGATTCAGTATTTATGATCACAGAACATAAGGAAAACTAATTGGTTCAGCTGCACAGAGATTTCTGTTTATAGACCAGCTGTTGAGGGAAGACAACTTGATTTCTCATTCCTTACTGAAAGAGAAATGTTATCCAGAATATCACTTCTCAAAATATATATTACATCATCCTCTTGTTAGATACTACCAGAAGAGCAACTCATTAACAGCATAAGCTCCACTACCAATCTCTTTGATTAGCCATCAGTGTCTTAATGCCTGGAACTAATAAAAAATATTACCTTTTCCAAATGTGAGAAATAGATCTCCAATCTAATGAAAAAAATAGTAAGAGAAACAGTCCTGGTACACAAGAAGCAATTAATATTAAACAGTCAATATTAATATTAATCCTGGGTACTAAAGTGAAGATAAATCAGTTTTTAAAAATTCATTCAAACAGACCAATTTTCCAAGTACCTACCACGTAAAGGTGCTGTTCTAAGCTGGCAGAGAAAAAGCAGTAAGCCTAACCAAGTATCACTAACCACATGGTCAAGTTTATATTTAATAGAAGGAGGGAGACAACACAATAAGTAAAACACATAACATGTTAACTGGTGAGAGGTGCCTTGTCTATTTTAGGTGTATGACAAGGTTGATAGGAATAGGGAACAAACTGAGTGCAAAGACGAGGCAGGAGGTTGTTGGAAAGGAAGTCTGTCATCAGATGAAAAGCCACCACAGACAGCATTTCTAAAAGATTTGGACCTTGTGCAATGGGCAAATTTAGAGCCACAAAAGAGTTTTGTGAAGGAGAGAAACATAACTGTATTTATATTTAGAACTAAACGTCTGGCAGGAATGTTGGGAATGGATTAGAGAGGGTGTGGACTGAGGAAGTGCAAGGAGAGGAGCAGGTGTTTGGTGCAGCAGTTGAAGTGCTTCCTGGGAAACCTGCACCCCATGGTGGCGTACCCAAGTCCCAGCTCTGCTTCTAGTGCAACCTTCTTCCTGTTGTGCACCCCGGGAGACGATGGCTCAGATACCTGGGTCCCTGCCACCCACACAGCAGATCCGGGTTGAGTCCCAGGTTCTTGCCTTCAGCCAGGCACAGCACCAGCTGTTGTGGACATCCTCCCCTCTTCAAGTAAAATGAAAAATAAAAAATTGTAAAAATGAAAGCAGAAAAAAAGGTGGGTTCCTACTCAGATGATATAAACAAATAAGCACCGGACCTAGGGCAGTACCACTATGGTGTGTGCATCCTATCCTCTCTTTGAGGGAAATGGAGGCAAATTCATAGCTTAGTCATACTGGCACTGAAAGAGAGCAAGACAAGTGAAGAATCCTATTCAATACTAACATCTACATAGTACTTTCTTCAAAAGTTTTCACATGCTAGGTTCCTGCCATTCACTGATTCTGATTCCCTTGACAAATCTGTTAAACAGAGATGAGACAGATATCTCCACCTAATAGATTTGGAAAATAAAATACAGGCCGGCGCCATGGCTCACTAGGCTAATCCTCCGCCTTGCAGCGCCAGCACACCGGGTTCTAGTCCCGGTCGGGGCGCTGGATTCTGTCCCGGTTACCCCTCTTCCAGGCCAGCTCTCTGCTGTGGCCCGGGAGTGCAGTGGAGGATGGCCCAAGTGCTTGGGCCCTGCACCCCATGGGAGACCAGGAGAAGCACCTGGCTCCTGCCATCAGATCAGCGCGGTCCGCTGGCCACAGTGCGCCGGCGGCGGCCATTGGAGGGTGAACCAACGGCAAAGGAAGACCTGTCTCTCTCTCTCTCTCACTGTCCACTCTGCCTGTTAAAAAAAAAAAAAATACAAACCAACTAAGTGATATACTCAGGACCAGTGGATTCAATTCAACGATTCAAAAATATTTATAATATCCTATGTGTCCAGCAATTTTCTAGAAACTTTGATTTATCAATGAATAAAACAGAAAAGATTGCTAACTTCTTGGGGCTCACAAGCTAGATGAGAATAGAGAGGTGAACTATAAACAATAAAAATACAGAGTAAGGTGAGAGGGGAGTGTGCAGGGCTGAGCAGAGAAGCAGGGTTTAGATTGAACACAATTCAGAGTACATTGAGAAAAAGAGATTTGACAAAGACTTGAAGGAGACAGGGATGTTACCTTTATATGAGGACAGTCCATTCTAAGCAGAGGAAACACAGAGCAAAAGCACTTAGGCAGGAGAATCTGGTGCATTCACAAAGAACAAGCTAACCTGGCTGACGCCAAATGAGAAGAGCAAGGAGTAGGTGAAAATACAGCACAGAAGTCCAAATCACATAGCTTATTCAAACAATGACCACTGACATCAGGAGATATTGCAAGATGCTGAGTGAAGGAAAGACAGCATCTGCTATACTCTGTTTTAAAAGATCACTGGCAGCTGTGTTTGGACTAGTCGATGGAGAGGCAAGAATAGAAGCAGAGACCAGTTCGGGACATCCACAGTAAAGCAGGTGAGGAAACCTCAGTTCTATCTGGGGGTCATATCAGTGGAGGTAGTAAGAGGTAGTCAGGCTCTAGACATATTTTGAAAGTCAGCTAACAGGATTTATTCTAGGGATTCTAGAACAGTGAAGTATAGAGTATTACAGAGAAAGAAAGTGAGGAGTCCAGAGTCACACCCAAGTTTTTGGCCTGAGCAACAGAAAAGCTGGAGTTGCCACCAACTGCGACAGGGAAGTTGCAGATAGAACAGATTTTGGGTGGGAGGATTAGGAGTTCGTTTTTGGTGATGTTAAATTTGAAATGCCTTTTAGACAAGCAAGTTATGCCATCTTATAGACAGTTGGCTATGCAAGTCAAGAGTTCAAAAGAAAGGTCTAGGCTGAAGGTATACCTCCAAAAATATTAGCATACAAATAAAGGGTATTTTAGGCAAAAAAGCTGAGTGATATCACCAAAGAAAAGAGTGTAGATACTGGGAAGAAGAGGATCAAGCAGTGGGCTCTGGGCACTCCAAGGCAAGGAAAAGAAGAGGCATCAGCCAAGGAAACAGAGGAGTTAACAATGAGATCCGAAGATAACCAGAGCCTGAGGTGTCCTGGAAGCTAAGCAGATGGGGAGGAGGGGAAAGGAAATGACAGAGTGAGCATCAACTTTATCAGCAGTGGTCAGACAGAATAAGATCACTGAACCAAACAGAAATTCCTAATGACCTTAATGACACAGGTACGGATGGAGAGACAGTAGCAAATACAAAGAAAGATCTATCCGTTGGTTCACCTCCAAAATGGCCACAATGTCCAAAGCCAGGCCAGACTGGAGCCAGCAGCCAGGAACTTTCTCCAAGTCTTCTATGTGGATGCAGAGGCCAAGCACTTGGGCTATTTTCCACTGTTTTCCTAGGTGCATTAGCTGGGAGCTGGATCCGAAGTGGAGCAGCCGGGAATCAAACCGGCACTCATATGGGATGCTGGCATTGCAGGAGGCAGCTTAACCTGCTACGCCACAGCACCAGCCCCTGTGATAACTTTTTAAAAATATGGATAAAAGAGGAGTGGGAAAAGTGAGGGACAAACAGACTAGAGGTATTAGTGGTTCAAAGAATTCTTGGGGTAGGGATTCTAGATGGAGTGAGCTGGAGACACAGGCAATAGTGATCTGAAAGTGATTATGCGAGAAAGGCAATTTTGATAATAAAGTCAAGGAAAGGATTTCTCAGTCTCAGCGTGCTGATGTTTTAGAATGGACACCTCCGTGTTGCAGGGACTGTCCTGTGCATTGTGGTTAGAAGCACCCACCGCCTCTACCCACCAGATGCCAGTAACAACAATCCCCCAGTCACAACAATGAGAAAAGTCTCTAGGCCTTGCTAAATTCTTGGAGTCAAGAGCCACTGATCTAGGGTATGACCAAGTAGTTTGGATCACTGTGGAGAGCCTGGTGAACTGGAAGAATTATCGATGAGTGTACTGCAATCCCAAGAATTAAGACAGGAGTAGTGCTGGAGACAGGGACAGTGAGCAGGAACCACAGCAGTGAAAAATGAAGCAGATGTCAGAAGATGACAACAGCTCAGAGGAGCTGATACACCAGAGGTGACACACCAGCTTCACCACAGTGGTAAGGATGGTACGAGGACAGAGGCTCCTTTCCTGGGGCTTTTTTAAATGTCTAGAAGGTGGGCAGACGCCTCCACTTGATTTATGTTCAATTAAATTAGACTCACAGAGTCAAAAATAGGGGTCAGAGACAACTGGCACCATTTCTGACTGCCATATATACCAAACAGATGAAGGCCCATGCTTTTGGCTGAATACCATCCTAAAAATAGGACATAACATCTTGGTTTAAAAAAAAAAACTCCCCATTTTCTTTCTTGCCCTTAAAAATATTACACTGTCTTTGGGAAAAAAAATCGTATTAAAAGATTTGTATCTGCTTGCTACAGATAATCATAACCAACATTTTTCTTATCTAACCAGACACCTTTATCTTCAGTCTAACCATCAAGGAGGACAAAAAGACCATAATATTAAATGGATGGATTGCAATGGTTTCCAACTGTGCTCCTCTCACAACCTGCTCCTCTCACAACCACCTGGAAAGACTTCTCACCAGACTGCAAGCAGACAGATGTAGGGCAAATGCCCAATTGTCATTCCCACTGTCATTCCCACTGCATATTCACAAGGGAAATGCTCATGGAAATGAATAGGTGTGTCCCTTTACAGGAGAAGCAGCTTCAGGATGGGAAATTCAAACTGTGTAAGTTCTCCCAAATGTACTCTCACAGCAATATAATTAAGTCTTTAGGTCACCGGGAAGCCTGGCTCACTGAACCTGCACAAGCCCATCTGCAGAATTCTCTGGTTACGGTTATACTGAATTTAAATTTTGTAATGCATAAACATGAAGTACAAAAATGGTGTCAAGGAAACACATGACGCCATCACCAAGTCCTGCTCAACTTCACCGACTGCCGAATCCCACACTGAAAGCTCATATAAAACAAAGGCGAAATCCTCTCTTTTCAAGTCCCCTAACAGGCAGTTTTCAGAGCTCACCAGCAGTAAATTAGACTTTCACAGAGTGCATCACAATGATTGGGAATTTTCATGGATTATTTCTAACATGGATGGTTTCCTATTAGGAAGAGAAGAGTAAGAACCAGGTTCTAAACCTCAGCTTTGTCACATATCGGCTTTTATGTTCCTTAATCTATCTGGCTTTGTTTTCTCTTGGGTTAAGTGGGGACAGTACTAAATTAGTTGCTGTGAAGAAAAAATTCCCTACAATATGAATAGCATAGTTTTGGCACATAGTAGTTGCTCAACAAATAACAGTCTTATTTTGTAGTTAACAAAACTATCCAAAATAAGTCTCAAAGATGGGAAATAAGGAAACCTAATGGTTAGGCCTCCCTTCGAGAAAGATCAACAAAGTATTCTGATTTTGTTACAACAGATCATGAATTCAGGCATAAAGGTATTTCAGTCTTGATACTTATAACACAAATGAGAGGAAAGAATAGGGATGTACCTTCCAAACTCTCCTGTTCATCTGAAGTATATGCATCCATCTGACTCTGTTCTCGTAAGAAACGAATAACTGCATAAACTAGGTGCTTGATAGATGACATTTTAGCAGCTTAAACACTTTTCCTTGATTAGAAAAATTAAAACACTGAGCTGAGTTATTTTAAAAAATCAAGCAGGAAGGTTATAAATTACAAAGGTAATCAATAACAATCATAAATTACAGTGAAAGTTAAAAAAATCTGTATTACTTATTTCTAACAAGTCAGGGGAGCACAAAGTATTGATATGGTCATTTATTTCATATTTTCATTCATACCCAGTAGTATTAGGCTACATTAAATCTTGCATAAATAATCTTTTTCCAAAACATATATGACATAAACTTGGACTCTTACTGACTACTCCATTATATCTTAACAGTGTAGACGGTTCGGATACAGAATAGGATAAGGGCACAGATTGAAACATAAAAATCCCCTAAAGGCCTCAGTACTAAATCAAGGGAGATTTCTTAGTGCTGACTCAGAAGCTGATCCACAATGAGCATCTTCCTCTATTTCATGAGTTTTGTTTTTTTTTTCAACTGCATTAATAATTTACACTCCACCTACTTTAGTAGGTTGCGAGTTAGTTATTTGCTAAGGAAATGCATTCATGAAAGGTTGTTCGGTGCAGAGTGTCGTTCTGAATAAAAATGGCATTTCCATTCCATCAACAGACACGCCAGGCACTGAGGATGGTACCCACTGGCCGGCGTGGTCTGCAGGGGCTGTGCCCTCGGGGCACCGTCCAGACCGCCAAGCGCAGCCAGCTCAGGGCTTATTTCCACTAAATCGCATCAGCCCTCCATCTGCTCCCCGGGTTCCCCAACCCGAAGCCAGGGTGTGGTAGCCGCCGTTTGCATGTTTATTATTTGTGCACTTATTTTGCAGGCGAGCCCGGTCTCTAGGCCTTGGGTTATTACAACTGCCAAACGAGGCCCCAGGGCAGAAGGTGCAGACTGCATAGGGGGAAAGGGGTGAGCCTCGAGAGGACAGGAGAGGGCCAGCCTCCTCCAGCTGTCTCCCCTTCCTCTCCTCAGAGCACGTCGACCTCCCACTCGGTGCCGCCCTCCCTCCGGGGCCCTGGCCTCGCCCCGGCCATGACGGGCTTTGCAGCAGGTGCGTGGTGCAGGCCTCCGTCTGGGGCGGCCAGAGACGCACCCTTCCCAGACAGGAGCCCCTTTACCAAGCAAGAGGATGCAAGACGACGGCTGAGGGCCCGCGGGCGTCTGGAAGCCGGTCCGCCTGACCCCTGGTTCTCAGGGCTTGAGCGTGGCTCAGGATCACAGCACCCGCAGCGCCTGCCCAAACTTCTCCGGCTCCCACGCCGCCGCCGCCGCCGCCGCCGCAGCCACCGCCGCCCCCTCAGCCCACCCGGCTGCGCGTTCAGCTCTCGGCTGCTGGGCTTCACCAGACCCGCCCCTGGGGCGGGGCAAGACGCGCGGGGCGGGGCTCGGGGCGGAGCTCGGGACGGGCAGGGCGTGGGGCGGGGCCGGACGCGCGGGGCGGGGCCTAAGTGGGCGGCGGGACGAGGGGCGGGGCCGAGGCGGACGACGGCGTGGGGCTGCCACACGTGGGAGGGCGCTGGCCCGGCTGCCCGCTGCTGTGGCCCGGGCTGTGGCGTCCCGGCCTAGGCCGACCCGCGGCTGCCCGGCGCCGGGACTCCGCCGTCGGCCTCCCCCAACCCCAAAGCCAAGGACGCCGCTCCTGCCGCTGCCGGCCTCGCGGCGCGCCCATGATCGCCCGGTGCTTTTCGGCTGTGCGAGGCCTCCACAGGTACCTCCCCGCGCGGGTTCACCTTGACCGTGGGCAGAGCGCGGTCTTCTGCCTGGGCACTGCCGGGGCGTCCCGGCCCCGCCGAGCACCCGCACGGCCTGCGGGGCCCACCCTGAGGGACACCTGGCGCGGCCACCTGGCCGGCTCTCTCGGGAGGGCCTGCGTTCCCTTTGTTTGGGTCTGCCGCCGCCGAAGTCGGCGAGCCTGGTGAGCGCCCGGGCCCCAGCGAGCTCCGGAGGGTGGGCCGCGTGGGAAAATCCTTTCCCTCCCGCCGCCATGCAGCTCTGTGGTTAAAGGTGCCGCGGCAGTCCACTCCGCGTGGGCAAGTCCCGTTGCCCCTCGCACTCCTCACTAGGATCGGGTCAGCGAAAGCCACACACAGGAGACGCTTCGGTTTTGTTGCATGTTTCTGTCCGTGCTCCCTAACTTCCTTTTTTTTTTTTTTTCTTTCTTCTCCCTATAAACCAAGGCCCGTGTCTCTTGCTGGGGCAAACTGACTTGGCTCAAAATGGAAAAATGTGTTGCAGGGTCTGGTGGGCGCTGCAGCTGCTGTTCCGATGAGCTCGGGCTCTCCAGCCACACCCCTCCGCCTCAGCCCTGCAGCCAGGTGCGGAGGGAATTCTTAGCAAGGATGCAGTGGTTTTCAGAAACAATGCTGCCGCCACCCCCATTCCCAAGTCCGTCCCGAACAGCAAATCCAAGTGAAAATTCGGCAGAAAAAAGGAAACGTGTGTTTCTTGCTTGATGCCTACAAAATTGTGGGAGATAGCAGCATTCGAGCCTTGTACTTCGTCCCGTCGTCTGCGAAGCTCTGCGTGGCTCAGTTCTGGCAGACACCCAGGGACAGTAGTATTTACAAAGACTGTGGGCTATTCCAGGCTGTCCCTTTTGTGCTGGTCTCCAGGGTGCAAGGGGTGTAGCTGCCAAATGTGGCTATCAGCACCTGAAGCGCTTTGCCTAAAGCAGGAGAGAGGAGACGAAATCTTCCTGTAGGACAGCCTTTCTCAAACTTTTTAGTCTCAGGACCTCTTTACCTCCCCAAAATTAGAGGAACGAAGCATTTCTGTTAATGTGGGTTGTATCTGCCTATATTTACCCTATTAAAAATTCAATCTGTGAACTTTTAGAAGTGTTTATTAGTTTACTTATAAAACAGTAATAAATCTGTTACACCTTAATGGAAAACAGCTATTTTCCAGCTGCTCCCACCCCAGCCAAATCAGGAATACAGTGCCATTACACTTTTTTTTTTTTTTTTTTTTTTTTTTTTTTTTTTTTTTTTGGACAGGCAGAGTGGACAGTGAGAGAGAGACAGAGAAAGGTCTTCCTTTGCCATTGGTTCACCCTCCAATGGCCGCCGCGGACGGCGCGCCGCGCTGATCCGAAGGCAGGAGCCAGGTTCTTCTCCTGGTCTCCCATGGGGTGCAGGGCCCAAGCACTTGGGCCATCCTCCACTGCACTCCCGGGCCACAGCAGAGAGCTGGCCTGGAAGAGGGGCAACCGGGAAAGAATCCGGTGCCCCGACCGGGACTAGAACCTGGTGTGCGGGCGCTGCTAGGCGGAGGATTAGCCTACTGAGCCGCGGCGCCGGCCACCATTATACTTCTTATCTTTTTTTTTTCTTTTTGAAAAGTTGTGGTAAGATGAAACAAAATTTACCCTTTTAATCATTTCTTAATAATTAATTGAAATGCAGGGAGAAAGAGAGAGACACACAGATCTTTCATTCACTGGCTCACTCCCCACATGCCCTCAACAGTCAGTGCTGGGCCAGTCAGAAGCCAGGAGCCTGGAACTCCATCCAGGTGTCCCACGTGGATACCCGAAACTCAAGTACTTGGGCCATCACCAGCCGCCTCCAGGGTGCTCATTAGCAGGGAGCTGGAACTGGAAGCAGAGTCAGGACTGGAACCCACTTAATCTGCCGTGAGATGCAGCCCTCCCAAGTGGCATCTGAACCGCTGCACCAAACTCCTGCCCGTTCTGATCTTTTGTAAGAATGCAGTTCAGTGACGTTAGGTACGGGCACGTTGTTGTGCGGCCATCACCACTGTCCACCTCCCACATTTATGCGTCATCCCAAACGTAGTTTCTGTGCCCATTATAGAATAACTCCCTTTCACAACCGCCTCCAAACCTTAGTAACCACTGAGTTTTCTTCCTCTATAATTGACTAATCCAGGTATCCCACACAATTGGAATCATGCAATATTTACCCTTTTGCATCTGGCTTATTTCACTAGCGTCGTGTTTTTAAGGTTTACCATGCTGAAGCATGTGTCAGAGATTCCGTTTATAATGCTGAAGTATATTCCGTGGTGTGTATATATCACATTTAGCTATTTTGAATGATGCTTCTGTGATCATTGGTGTGCAAATATGAAGGTGTTATAAAAAGTTTATGGGAAATGGAATTAGAAGTTAAAATAGGGGCTGGCTCTGTGGTGTAGCCAGTAAAGCTGCTGCCTGCAGTGCCGCATCCCATATGGTTGCCGGTTTGAGTCCTGGCTGCTCCACTTCCCAATCAGCTCTCTGCTATGGCCTGGGAAAGCAGTAGAGGATGGCCCAAGTCCTTGGAATCCTGCACCCACGTGGGAGACCTGGAAGAAGCTCCTGGCTTCGGATCAGCCCAGCTCCAGCCATTGCGACTGTCTGAGAAGTGCGCCGTCAGAGAGAAGACCTCTCTCACTCTCTCTGCCTTTGCCTCTCTGTAACTCTGCCTTTCGAATAAATAAATAAATCTTTTTTTTTATTTTCTTCTATTTCTTTAAATTTTTTTTTTTTATTTTTGACAGGCAGAGTTAGACAGTGAGAGAGAGACAGAGACAGAGAGAAAGGTCTTCCTTCCATTGGTTCACCCCCCAAATGACCACTATGGCCAGCGCACTGCGCCGATCCGAAGCCAGGAGCCAGGTGCTTCTCCTGGTCTCCCATGCAGGTGCAGGGCCCAAGCACTTGGGCCATCCTCCACTGCACTCCCTGGCCATAGCAGAGAGCTGGCCTGGAAGAGGGGCAACCGGGACAGAATCCGGCGCCCCAACCGGGACTAGAACCGGTGTGCCGGCACCGCAGGTGGAGGATTAGCCTATTGAGCCGCAGCGCTGGCCCAAATAAATCTTTAAGAAAAAAAAAATAGTTAAGATTATTTTGGTGCAAGATTTTTTTGAAACCCATGCATACTCATATCTGTTCAAGTTCTTGCTTTCAATTCTTGAGATATTTAACAGGTGTTCAAAAAGTTTGTGAAAAATACATATTATGAAAAAGCTATGCATAGATTTCAAAACTTTTTTGCACCAACATAAACTTATCTTTTAATCTCACTTATCCATGAACTTTTTGAAGTACGCTTATATGTTTAGAAGTAGAAATTGGTTAATCCTATGGTAATTCTAGCTTTAATTTTTTGAGGAACCATCATACTATTTTCTATAGTAGCTGTGCTGTATTACATTCCCATCAGCAATTGACAAGGATTCCAGTTTCTTTACATTTTCACCAGCGCTTTTCTGGTTTTTGAGAATAGTAATCCTAGGTGTGGCGGTGTTTTTCATTTTATAAAACTTGAATGATTTAATAGAAGGCACCTGGATTCTTTCATCTGCTTCTGCATTTAATCTATTGCACTGTTTTAGTTTGGCTTAAGAAAATGAAGAAAACCCATCTCACACTCACCTAGCTGAAAAGAGGGAAAGATTTCATAGCTTTTTAAAGATAATCATGGATATTTGTTGATACAGTACCCAACTTTGACAAATAACTTTTAAATGTTAGTTACAAAGTGGCATCTGAAACTATATCAATGTACCTTTCTTAAAATCCATTGGTGTATGTTTCACTCTGAATGCATGATTTTGTAACATCATACAAAAGAAATTTGGAGATTAGGGCTCGATGTGTTATATAACTTTTACTAATATTTCCTGAGGACATATTTCACTGTACAATGTCAAACAATTGCATTCCTTAATGTCCTCATCCATCTAATCAGAAAAGTCTTCATCTATCAGGAAGCTGGCAAGCTCAATGTAACAGATAAAATTTTCAAAAATTCTGATTTTCATTTGAAAGCTGGAATTTTTGTCATTGGCAACATATTGTTGTTTTCCTTGAAGTGACTGACAGTCTTACTTTGTTATATTTTTGACAGGATGTCTGCCAGATACTTAAGTCTGAATAATCTTGATTTGTCCTTCAGTAGTTTTTTCAAGTGAAAATAGAGTTCTTGGGGATGGACATTTGGTGCTGTGGTTAAGATGTCGCATGGGATGTCCACATCTCATATCAGAGTGCCTGGGTTCGAGTCCTGTTCTGCTTATGTGTCCCCAGAGAGGCGGCAGGTGATGGTCGGAGACGTATGTCGCAGACACCCATGTTGGAGTCTGGGATTGAGTTCCTGTCTGCTGTCTGCAGCCTGGCTTATCCCTGGCCATTGTGGGCACTTGAGGGGTGATGTCACAAATGGGCGATCTCTGTCTCTGTCCCTATCTCTCTGCCATTCAAATTAAATACAGACATGCATAAGCTTTATTTATTCCCTTTGCCATTCAAATTAAATAAATACATTGTACTTATTTATTTTTCATTTATTTGAAAGGCAGAGTGACAGATCTCCTATCCTGAGGTTCACTTACAATTTCTATTGGGTTTTCCTTTTGGCAGGGTTCCTGTACCCCTTCCCAAGGCGAATTTGGCAGCCAGGACCAGTGATAGGAATATTCAGTCAGCTTCTTGGGAATAAGTAGAATGGGAATCTGGAGAGTGGGCTGTGGTTTCTTTTCAAATAATATGTGACCTTAAGTAAACTATTCTCTCCTTTGAACCTCTCTCGGGTTCCTTATTTTGTAAAATAAAAAAAGACTAGGTTAAAATGATATCTAAGGTTTCTTTGAATTCTATGTTGCCATAGCAATTAAACCACAAGAATTCTACCTACTGGCTCAGATTGCACAGCATGTGAGCCAAGCAAAATCTATTTTATATTATAGACTGAGGTATGG